AAAGGCCCCCCCCCCCCAGCCCCTTCCTGGGTAATGGCTCAGCATCTCCTTACCTGGGGGGCCCATCTCCCCCTTCTCTCCCTGCCCCCCAGCTGCTCCGTCCCGGCCATCACGACCGTCCCTGCCGGGCAGACCCTGGCTCCCGTGCACCCCCGGTGTCCCCGGCAGCCCCGGATGGCCAGAGCACAGGCTGGGGATCTTGTTGTCCTCGATCTGGAGGGCGCCAGCGATCATCCCGAGGAGGACGAGGAGCTGCTTCATCGCCAGGCTGTGCCGCGCCGGGGCTGCAAGCAGAGCGAGCTGTGAGGTCTGGAGCAGAGGCAGAGGCAGACCCCTGGCACAGCGTGGCGTGGCTCCTGCAGCAGGGGCGCTCTGTGCCTTGGGGCCCAACTGGGCCAGGGGGTGCCCCACTGCCTGTGGCAGACATGGGCCTGGCTGGCCACGGGGCTATTTGGCTTGGCTGATGGCGGTGGGGCAGGCCCGAGCTGGGGACTGTGGTAGGGCTGGCGCAGCAATCTCCACCTTCCCAGGATCCTGCTGCCTGGAAGGAGACCCAGATCATGGCTGCTGGGGGTGGGGCTGGAGAGCCCCACGGCCCCCTTCCCTGCCCCTCCTCCTCCCCCCTTCTCCCTGCTGCCCCACGGTGCACTGGCAGCCAGAAGGGGGATGCTGGGAGGGCGGGGGCTCGTCCGGCCCAGTGTCCGCGGAGGCCAGACTGGTCCAGCCCAGGCCCGGTTTGGCCCCGGCCCCCCGGCCAGCCCAGCATCCGCAGGAGCTGTCGCGAGGCGTCTGGAATGCGGTGACGCCTTCCAGCAGCTCCAGCACATTCCTGCTGCGTGCGCTCGTTGGGGCCCACCGCCGGCCGGCACTCGCCTGGCACGCAGGGCGGGGTGTGCAAGGCCCGGGCCTCCCTGCCAGGCCGTGGGAGCGGCGGGGGGCTACGGACGGGTGGAGGGTATGGCACTGGGAGGAGTGCGTGCGTGCGTGGGTGGGGGGCTGCAAAGGGTGAGGTCTGTGCAATTGGGGGGATGTGTGTGGTGCGCTGAGTGATGCCTGGGGGGTGAGCTGCAAGGGGTCTGCACAAGTTGTGAGCTGTGGGCATGTGTGGGGTAGGGGGTAGTTTGCTCTGGGTGTGCGCGTGTGCGGTGGGTTGCGAGCTCTGTGTGCGCACACTCGGCATGTGAGGATGCTGGCACGAGGCCCGGGACCTGCCCGTTTCCTGTCCCTGGGGGGCCTCCGTCCTCGCTGGCTCAACCCGCACACGCAGGGCTGCCGGCCCGGTGCGCAGGCCCAGGAGCAGTCACGTCAGGGCTGGCGTGCCGTGCCCACAGCAGGCGCACTGCCGAGCCCGGGGCAGCGTCCTGCAGGGCTGGCACTCATCCCACCCAGCCTCTGCCGGGCGGGGCTGGGCCAGCATCCCCCCTAACCCCACTGCATCCCACACTGCCCCACGCAGCCCTCTCCCCCTGACTGGCTCCCAGCTGGCTGGGGTCCCTTGCACCGTGGACCCCTGCATTCAGGGCAGAGGGGAAGCCCCCCCACCCCTGCACCCCTGCACTAGAGGAAAAGGAAGGAAAATAAACCTGGCTGGACTGTGCCGTGGCTGAGTGGCTCCCTGGCAGGTCCCGCTCTCCCCAGGCAGGAGCTGCCCTCCGTGGTGTCCCCACTGGCTGCGCTCCCCGCGTCTGCCGGCTCCCGTGCTGCCCGACTCCTCACTCCCTTCTGGCTCAGAAGGTCCTGGAGCTCTTCCTGACCACTTCAGCTGTGACGAAAGCCCTGGGAAAGCTGCCTTCCCCCCCGGCCCCCCTCACCCTCTCCTCCCAGCTCTCCTCCCAGCTCCAAAGGAAACGGGGGAATTTGGGAGCCAAGAGCTACAAGGCATGAGGAAGGCTCCCAGGGTGTCAGCAGAGGCAGCGGGAGGCGGAGGCAGACAGACGGATGGACACTACGCCCCTGGGATAGGGGCCTCAGGGAGCCAGGACTTGAAAAGACACCTTTGCCCAGGGCATCGTCCCTCCACAGCTCTCCCAGACGGGGCCAGGGCAGAAGACGATGCACCAGGCCAAGCTGGGTGAAGCCGGGGATCGACGAGGGGCCGTGAGCATCACCGCCCCCCGCCCCCACGGGAAGCGCAGCAGCCTCCGTGCTGCATGGAGCCAGGCCTGGCAAGGGGAACCGCGGCGCCTCATTCTTGTGGTTGCTTCTTTGGAAGCAGTGACAGGGCTGGGACCGCGAGCGCTGCACAGGGCGGGGGCGAGCGGCCGGCCTCCGCGGGGAGCAGGGCTGGCTGGGGCCGGGGCCTCGGCTCCATCAAAATGTGCTCACACCTGCCGGGCTGCATGCACACGCCTTTAATGCCACGCATGGTCGATGCCAGGTACTGGCACATGCACTGCATGCTAGCAGAGCACACCCATGCAGGCTCATGCACGCTCACTAGCATACACGGTACAGGGTAGCAGTACACCCCGCTACACCCACACACTAGCAGTACACCCCTCCCATGCCCACAGTTCTCTAGCAATTTGCACACTCACTCACACGCATGCTAGCAGCACACCCACACACACCTTGCCTGTAAACACCCCCCCATACACTCAGGATGCACACCCACCAGCACCAAGTACCAGCCCTCACAGTACACGCATGCACACACACGCACACACCCTGTTCACAGCCAACACTCACCACCCGGCCCTGGAGCACTCCCTGCACTTCCTATCACATCACAGCCAAGCCCCTGGCTGCCGGCCCTGTGCCGCAGGCCCGCCAACACGGTACAGACACATGAGCCCGACACGCGGCCCCTTGAATGTTGTGCACATGCTCCATGAATTGGCAGCACATGCATCACCCTGCTCATGCACACCCCTGCTAATAGAAAACATATCCCTCTTTGCACACACATCCCCTGGCAATGCACACGCATGGTGCACACACCACCCCATGGCCCCCACCCTGCTCTCCCCACGCCCCCCCAGGGAAGGCTTTGCTGGGCCTTGCAGCGGGCAGGCAGGCCCGGTGGCAGTGCCAGCTGTCGCGGTGCCCAGCCCAGGGTCAGCCCGTCCGGGCCTGCAGCGGTTCTTTTCCAAGGTGAGGACGGATGTTGCCTTTGGCCGACGCGGCTCGGTGGCTTTGAGGCTCCTCCAGGCTGAATGGCCGATGGCTGGGAGACGTGCCAGGGCTCAGCGGCTCCGGCCTTGGCCCTTTCCCATACTCCAGAGTGGAAGCCCCTTGTTTCCCTTCCCCAGCCAGGGCGCAAGACGGGCTCAGAGATGAGCATCCGTCCCTGGGGACCAGCCACTGGGCCAGGGAGGAGCCAAGGGAGCGCCTGCTGCTTCCCCAGCCCCCACCGGCCACAGCTTGGCTCTGAGCTTGTGCCCCCAGCCAGCAGCCAGGTCCTTGCCCACTCCCTGCCCCCAGCCTGTGACGCCCATGCTCCAGGGCCTGGAGCCTCGGGCGCCCAGGGGTTCATCCCACCATGCCCCTGCCGCCACGCTGCGCTCCCTCCTCTGTGCCTTGGCTTCCCAGCTCGGAGGTGGCGGTGCTGGTCCCCCCTGCTCCCTCCCTCCCCTCACATACACGCGTGCTCCAAGCAGTGGTGAGGCCAAGCGTGTTTGCAAGCTGCTCATGCTGTTTATTACCCAAGGCACGAGACATCCCGGGTGAAGGAGACAGCTGCAGCCAGCCATGGGCCCAGGATGTGCCCTGCATTCAGGATTAACCCTCAGCCTGCTGCAGTAAGTTGCCTGGCATGCAAGCAGCTCTGGAGAGAAGCACCCATAAAAAGGGCAAGGAAAGGCACTAGGGAGCCCAATGCCTTAGGCTGCCCCATAGAGGGGCAAGTACTGGCCCAGCACCCCCCCGGCTGCCCCAGCCCCATCAGGCTTTGACCACCTTGCTCCTTCTCTGGCTCCAGTCACAGAGGGGCCAGGGACCCTCACCAGCTGCCATGACTTCATCCTCCCACCTTGGCCCAGAGGCTACCTGCACCTCTGCTTTACAGACAGGGAAACTGAGGCACAGGAGGATCATCGTGGCTGGACACATGGGCTGTGGGAAAGCAGGGGTTGGAACCAGATGGACTTTACCTGTGCCCGGGCCTGTGCCCATGGGAGGAAACAGCCACGATTCACCTCCCTGCTGCTGGGCTGAGGTCTCTACCCCCCAGGAGCCCAGGCGGGAGCTCCTGCCCTGCTGCAGGGGGGCTGCGCGGGGGGCTCAGGGCTGGACGCACTCCTCGGGGTGGCTGGCGTCTGGCAGGATGCTGCAGTTGATGGGCCAGGCCATGCCCAGGAGGTCGAGGGCCGGCTGGCAGCGCTGCTCAGCTGCCAGGCACACGGGGCGGCAGGGCCGCAGGACCCCCCCATCAGGGGTACACCGGGGCACGAAGAGCCCGCAGACCAGCAGGCGCAGGGGCTGGTAGCAGGACAGCCCTGCCAGGCTCTGCAGGAGAGAGGGGCTGGGAGATGCGGCTGGGCAGGGCCGGGCCGGGCCGGGCTGGGCCCATACCCCGCCTGCCCTGCCCCGGTGCCCAGCTCACCTTGTAGCCCCGCAGCACGTCGGCGGCGCCTTGCTGGTCGGGGATGTTCAGCCAGATGTTGGGGAAGGCCGTGGCATTGTAGCTCAGCCCCAGGCACATCTCCACACGGATCAGCTCGCAGGACTCTGGTGGGGCAGGGGCACTGTCAACGGGGGGCAGGTCCGGGGGCACCGGGGCTGATGGGTCACACGCGCGGGGCACGAGGCGCTCACCGACAGGCGGGGGGCGCGTGCTGGTGCAGTTGAGCTCGTCGCTGCCGTCAGGGCAGTCGTGCCAGCCGTCGCACACCGCCTCGGGCGCCTGGCACTCCCCGCTCCCGCAGGCGAACTCCCAGGGGCTGCATGTCCCTGCAGGGGGTGAGCGGAGGAGGGGCGCGGTGAAGGCTCCCCGCACCTGGCCCCTCTGCGGTCGCAGGCCCTTGGGACTGGGGGTGCAAGGACCCGAGGGAGGCTGGTGCTTTTGGGGCACCGCAGAGCTGCTGTGGCGCCGTCCCTAGCGCCGAGGGAGACGGGTGGGCTGGGGCTCAGGGGTCATTATGGCAGGGCCTGGCCTCAGGCTGGAGCATGGGAGCAGGGCCTTGCAAGGAGACCCGTTCCCACGGGGAGGGGGGAAGAGGGAGCGTGGGAAAGTGCAGGGAGCTCAGGACAGCATCCGGCCGCTCCGGGGACCTGGGGCTTGTTCCCGGTTCCTCCGTCCACCCCCAGGCGCCACGCACGGGGCAGGCAGGAGGGTGCAGCTCTGGCTGTGGCATAGCCCCCCAGCCCCCACAGCCTCAGCTCAAACTGGGCCGGAGCCCAGCAGGAGGCACTGGCTCCGGCAGGGTCAGGGGGCAGGGGATACCGGAGCCAGGCCAGAGCTGGGGCTGCGTGGGCTGGCGTGACTCCCCACGGACAGGCTTGCAGCTCCAAGTCAGCAGCGGGAGACACCAGGCTTCCTCCTCGCCCCTGGGCTTGCAGCTGGGGAAACTGAGGCACAAGCCAGTGTGTGTGTGTGTGGGGGGGGGGGAACGCCCCAAGCTCACCCCGCAGGCCTGAAGTAGAGCCAGGAACTAAACTGCAATGTCCCAGCCCAGGGAGCCAACCATGCCACCGCGCCGCCTGGCATCCTGGGGCAGGGAGACACAGCAAGGGGCTTAGAAGGCCCAGCCCCCCGTGCCCGGGCAGTGGGTGCCCCCGGCCCCCCAAGACCCGGCTCCTACGCTCCGTGGCGTTCCAGGCCTGGTAGGTGGCGAAGAACCCGTCGTCGGCCACCCCGTCATCGGCCACGAACAGGACAGTCATGACGTGGCGCGTCGAGGTCAGGGCGGGCGGCAGTCGGGAGCCGCAGAACCTGCCAGGACACGGGCAGTGGGAGCGGCGGGCAGGCGGGGGGCATGGAGGAGACCCCGGGGAGCAGAGGCGGGGAAGGGCCCTACCTGCCCAGCAGGTTGTGGGCGCTGGTGCCCGCACCATCGTGCACCTCCACGAAGTCGAAGGAGCAGCCGTCCTGCGCCTCCAGGCTGAAGTTGTGGAAGCGCAAGGTGACGAGGTGGCCCTCGGGCACTGAGATCTGCCACAGGCACAGCTGCAAGAGATTGGGGGGTGCACCTGCTGGGGGGGGTGCCGCGGGCACTGCCCGCCTCTGGGGGAAGCGCTGGCCAGGCACGAGCCCCCCCACCCATTCCCAGGAGCTCAGGGGGGCTGGGTGGAGATGCTCTCTGCCCCGCTCCCCTCTCCAGCCAGGGGCTGACCCCTGCCTCACGGAGGTGGTTTCCTGGGACGTGAGCTGAGCACCCTGCCTGGGCACCGTGGCTCGGCCTCTGCACTCACCTGCTGGTGCGGGTAGGGCCGGGGGTGGTTGGGGGTGGAAATCTGCCCCTCCAGGCTGGTCAGTGCCCCGCCGCACTCTGGAAGGACACAGACAGGCCGTGGGGCAGGAGACGCCACGCGCCCTTCGCCCCTCCTGCCGGCGGCACAGTGCCAGGGCCCGGGCCAGGCACGGGCATCCAGGCAGCACCCACCCATGCGGCATCCCAGGAGCCGTGACCCCGGGAGGCAGTGCGTTTGGCCACCTCCCCCGACCTCCCCAGCCTCGCCTGTCCCCAGCCCTGCCCGGCCACCCGCACCTCGGGGCTTGTGGCTGCAGTCGGCTTCGTCGCCGTGGTCGGCGCAGTCGTGGAAGCCGTCGCAGACGGAGCCAAGGGGCAGGCAGCGCCCGGCGTCGCACGGGAACTCGTCCCAGGCGCAGCTCTCTAGGGCATGGGCAGACAGGGCCTGGAGGATGCCCGGCTCCGCCAGAGCCGTGCCGGGCAGGGCGACGGGCCCTGGATACACTGATGACCGCTGGCCAGCGGGTCCCTGCCTGCAGCCAGTGCCAGCATCCTCACCCCAAGCCCCCGCCCCTCCCCAAGCCTGCTGCGCCCCTCCAGGCTGCTCCCCCCGGACCCCGGTGGGCGGCAAGCCCAGCACTCACTCTCGCTGGGCGCAATGGCACGGTAGCGGGCGCTGAAGCCCCGGGCGCTCACGCTGCCGTCGGACATGAAGGTGACACGGAGCCGGCTGGTGTTGGTGTTGAGCGTGGGGGGCGCCACGCTGCCACAGAACCTGCGGAGGGGGTGCGTGAGCCCCGGTGGTGCCACGCGTGACCACCCCCTCCATGCCATCCGGGGGGGTACCTGTGGGTGGGCAGATGCAGGGCTGCTCTGCGGTGCCCCCTCCCCAACCAACACCGGAGGCCCTGCTCATGGCGTGGGGCAGGTGTCCCCCCCATGCCAGCCTGGGCCCCTCCGCCCCACACCATTGCTGCAGCCTCCCTTGGCGGGTGCCCCTCAGTCCCCACCCACAGCTGCTGTAGCCCCTGCCCCTTCTGGGCAGCGTTTGCCCCGGGCCAGGGCTGCTGGGGGGGACAAGGTGGAGACGGGCACCAGGGGCTCCCCAGAAGAGGGCTGGCTGAGAGAGGGGACGGGGCTCCCACCTGGCTGCACTGCCCGGGGGAGCGCTGGTCCCCTCGTCGTCGGGCTCCTCGTGGAGCTCCAGGCGGTCAAAGAGGCAGGTGGCAGTGCCCTCCACGCTGAGCACCTCCACCTTCAGCTGCACGGCCAGCCCGGGGGGCACCCGGATGTGCCACACGCACAGGGCGTTGGGGGGGTAGGGCGCCGGGTAGTTGGGGGAGCTGAAGGAGCCCTCTCGGCCTCGCAGGGTCCCGCCGCAGGCTGCGGGCGGAGGGGACGCATGGGGGGTTCAGGGCAGAGACCCTGCGGGGGTGCTCACCTCCCAGAGGGGCTGCCTCCCCAGACCCCCGGGTGGCGGGGCATGGGGAAGGGGCTGTGCCCCCCAGACTCACCGGGCGCTGGCGTGCCAGCCGTGGGCAGCTTGCTCTGTTCCTGGGGGGCCAGGGAGCTCCGGGGGGCAGGTGCCGTGGTCCCGCTGGCAGGGGGAGCCAGGGAGGGAGAGCTGCCTGGGGGGGGGTGGGCTGTCAGCTCTGTGCTGACGGGACAGCGAGGAGGAGTCAGGCCTGGGGGCACCCAGAGCGTAGGTCTGCTCCCTGGGACTTGTGCCCAGCACCCTGCAGGTGCCCAAGGCCAGGCAGGGCCTCTCCTCTGCTCTGGGACCCCCTCCCTTCCCTAGTCTTCCTCGCCCCAGGCAGCCAGGCTGCCAGACCCAGCTTTGGCTAGGGTGCAGGGGGGCAGGGAAGATGCTCCCCGTGCTGCCACCACTGCCCTGGCATCGCCCTCCCAGGGTAGGAGCTGTGGAGGGTGGTCCAACAAGGCTGGGCTCCCTGCTCCTTGGTACTCAGCTGGTACTCACGGGAGAGGACGAGGCCAAGGAGCAGGGCGAGGAGCAGCAGCAGGAGGACGCTCAGCAGCACCACGCAGAGCCCCGAGAACCTGCAGTCGGGGCGCAGCATCTCCCCCGCCGGGCGCCAGCCCTGCCGGCCTGTGGGAGCCGTGCATGCAGCCCGTCACGGGAGCACTGCTGGGGAGTGGGGGGGGGGGTCTCCCCACGATGCCAGTGGGTCCAAGCTGGGCCCTAGCTTATGAGCAAAGGACGCCCGGGCCTGGGGGCACAGCAGCTGGCAGGGCCAATGGTTCGCTGTGCCCATGAAGTGTGAGCCCCTCCATGGAGGGGCTACAGACTGGTCTGGCTTGTGACACAGAGAAGACCCCCTCGACAGGCAGGGGCAGGCTCAGGGTCCCCTGCTTCTCTGCCTCCCCCACCCCCCACCGCAGTGCCCTTTGTTCAGCAGGGCACCCCAGGGTGCCGCAGCCCCCGGCAGACGGTACCGAGGCCGTTCCAGGCGGCTCCCATGATGCTCCCGTTCTTGGCCTCTGTCCGGCGCTGGGCAGGGGGCATGGCCCCGGCCCCCTCGCTCTCAGGTTCGAAGGCAGGATTGCAAAACTCTGTCTGCAAGGCAAGGAGTGGGGGCTGCGGTCGGGGGCACCACCATGCCCGGGGCAGTTGGTGGCTCCTGAGCTGCAAGCCACGGGGGCTTTCTGGGCCATCAACCCATGCCAGTGGCACCGTGCTGGGGGGCACTGGAGGGCAGGGGTCAGCACTGAAGGGAATGGCCGTGGGACAGGCCGGAGGCAGGGGGTGCTCGTACCTTGCTGTGGTCCAGCCCATTGGTGCACAGGGTGATCTCCGTGAAATCCTTCATGGCAGCGGGATGGCAACTCTGGCAGGTCCGGCTACAATCCCACCCTGGGGGCTTTTCCGCCTGGCACCGCTGCCTGCCCCTGCCAGCCCCAGGCCCCTTCTCACAACCCCTTCACCATCAGCACAGCTGCGCAGGCCTCTGCCCCCCTGGACGTCCACTTCCACCGGGATATAAACGAGCACAGTTTGGGAGGCGGCAAGGCACGGGAGCCAAAGCAGGGCTGTGCTGGGCTGGGGGGAAGAGGGGCGTGAGACTCTCCAAGCGCCCACCCCCAGTCCTTAATCCAACTCAGCTGAGGATGCTGAGGTCAGGTGCCCTGGCGCTGCAAGCCGGAGGCTTAAAGGCACAGCTCCATGCTGCTGGCCCCGGCAGCCGGGATGCAGAGGGGGCTGTGGGCGGGTGAGTGGCTCCTCTCCAGAGGTGGCTGCATTGTGGAGCAGGGGGGCAGCTGCCCAGTGTGCGGTGCCTCCCCATGCAGGTCTCACCCTGCTCAGGGCTGCTCTCCCTGCCGTGCTCGTGGCAAAGCTGGGGCGTGGGGCCGTGGCTGTGCCCCCACTGAGAGGTCGTGTAGCTTTTGAGTCTTGCTCCAACCTGGCCCCAAGACAAGTGCGGGCTGGACGGGGCAGCTCTGGGTGCTGCGGCTTCCTGTTCTGGGGGAGAATCCCAGCTTCCCCTTTCCCTGCCTCTTTCCAGCCCCTTCCAGTCTCAGCCTGCCCCAATATCTATTTAGTGCATGCCCCTGGCCTGATGCTGCCCCTTGGCAGGCCCTGGGCAGTGTGCGCCCATGTGTGGGGGTCACAACACCCCTCCCTCCCCACATCCCATTCCCGCAGTGCCCGGAGCCGGAGCCCAGCCAGGCAGCCGCATTCCTGCTCCCCGAGCGCCGGCTCCCTGCTCCGTTACTAAGCAGGGGAGAAAAGCCTTTTGTTGGGAGCTTTGGGGCGAGCCGGGGCCTGTGGGGAGAGGGGCTTAGTGCTCTGGGCATGCCGGGTATTTGGGGGATGGGGGAGATTGTAGAGGCTGGCTTTGGCACCCCAGGGTGCTTCTATGTCCAGCCTGGTTGTGTGGCTGAAGACGGCTGCCCAGGGGGCTGATGCTCTGCTGCTCCTGCCCTCTGGGTGGTAGGAGCGGGTAAGCTCAGGCCAACAGCAACCAGTGCTTCCTGCGCAGACGGCACTGCCAGGCTCCTGGGCACGGTCCCTCCTGACCCCCACATAGGGGGCAGCTCCAGCCCTGAAGCAGGGAGCTGGCCCTGGGGGGAGCACCACTGCGGGCTGGTTGCGCACCAGACCCCCCAGACACTGCTCGGAGCTGTGTGCAGGGCTCTCCCCACCCCGACGAGCCCCAGGAAGCACAAGGACGGCAGCCAGGGGTGTTTGAGCTCCAGTTTATTCCTGTACAACACACTCTCCCACCCACCTTGCTTACACAGTAAACAAGCAATGCACCCCCAGCCCCCCATGGTGCCCCTTCCCCTCCACGGTGCCCTCGCCAGCCCCTCCGTGAGCCATGCACCGTCCTCTTCGACCCGCCCTGCGGGAGTGAGGACTGTGCGGCGGGGGCAGGCCAACTGCCGGGTACACTGGATGTGCCCCCACTCCGGACACGAGTGGGAGGAAAGGGGCTGAGAGAATAAATTACAGAAAAAGCTAAAAAAGGCTGTCAGGGCCAGGGGCGGGGGGGGCGACCATCCTGCATGTCCCCCGTGGAAGAGGGGCTTGCCCCTGCCGGGTGCTGGGGATCTCACGGGGCAGACACAGCCGGGCCCTGGGAAGCCGCGGGCTCCCCTGGGCGCTGTGGGCAGAGCCGAGCACCCCAGCCTGCCCCAGAGCAGCGGGGTAGGGGCAGGGCACAGCCCAGCCTGGGGGGATGGGGCCCCCCAGCCGCTCCCCAAATGTTTTAAGGCACCGTCGTATGGGAGGCAGGTAGCACCCGCCTGAAGCGGGGACCCGTGGAGCTGGGCAGCGGCTGCGGGCCGAGAAAGGTCCGTTACGGATGCAAAGGAGCTCGACGAGGCTCCCCCCGGCCGGCTGAGATGGGCACAGGCCTGCTGGGGCTCCGAGTCCTGGCCCCGGCAGGGGCAGGGTAGGGGCAGCGCAGCGTCCTTCCCTTCCCGCAGTGCCGTGGTGTGCTGGGTGCAGGCGGCAATGCCCAGCGCCGGGCTCCGGGGACGCCGCCACACCGGGTGAAGGAGGCACAGTCCCGAGCTGCCTGGGCGGCATGCTGCGGGGCACAGGGCGCAGCCAGGCTCCCGTGCCCTCCGTCGTGGCTCAGCATTTTATTACACACCAAAGGGAACAAATGAAGCTAAACGCCAGCCCCTGCCGACGGCGGGGCCGCAACTCCAGCTCCTCAGTGCCAGCTCTGCTCCTCCTCGCTCTGCCAATGCTGGGAACCGCCCTGGCTGCCATGCCAGGGGCAGCCTTGCCCTCTCTTCTGGGCAGGGGCGGGGGCAGGGGGCCTGTGCACCTGCCCCCTGAGGCGTGGTCCTGTCCTCTCCGCCCCGCGGGCACCAGGCTCCGGGGCTGGGCGGCAGGAGCTACATACGGGAAGACGGGCTGGCCAGCTCGTAGAAGAGCAGGTAGGCATCGCTGCCCCGCACGTGGCTGGAGGACATCGGGGTGACGCTGTGGGCAGAGGGGGGCCATCAGGGTGAGGGGGGAAGAGCAAGGAACCCACACCCCCCCCCATCCTCTGCAGTCAGAGCTGCCCCACGCCCACAGCCGGCACCCCAGGGTGGGCCTTACCGGGAGTCGTTGAAGGTGTGCCACTCGCCAGACACGGGGCTCCGGCAGTAGGCCGTGTAGTGTCCCCCCATGGTGGTCCCGGAGTGGTTCGACACAGCATACAGGTTGTAAACAGCATGGTCTGGGGGAGCGGGGACAGACACAGCCATTAGCCACGGCAGGGGACAGCGTCCTGCCTCTGCTCCGCACCGCTGGGGCCATGCCAGTGCCCCAGAGAGCACCCGTGGGGGACCCCGGGGTCCTACTCGCCAGGCAGAAGCAGCCTGACGTTGGGGACTGAGGGGGCAGCTGGAGGCACGAGGACGCCTGAGTCCCGTTCGCAGCTCTGTGAGGGAGGGTGGTGGGGAGGATGGAGCAGGGCACAGAGAGGCAGGGCCCTGCCTGGCGAGGCAAGACAAGCCTGGGGTAGGGGGAGTCCACAGCTCCCCACAGCTTGCCCTTGGTGGGGGGGCCGTGGAGGGGTGCGTGGCACTGGAGCCCCTGCGATGGGCAAGCACGTGCCCCCGGCCCCCGCCCGCTGTTTGGGCACTCACTGCAGCTCTGTGCCGCGAACTCCCGCAGGTCCAGGTCCTTAAGCGGGAAGTTGACGAAGGTGGTGAGCTTGCTGGTGCGTATCCTGGCCTCCGAGAAGCGCTTCAGGTCTGGGGGCCGTGTCAAGGAAAGGCCCAGGGCAGCATGGAGATAGGGGCACAGGGGAAGAGCAGGAGGCCCCAGCACCCCCTGCCATGTCCTGCTGGATCTGGGGGTGCCCCCACCCATGCCCCCCGCATCCCCACAGGCTGCCCGGTGCTGGGATGGCAGCTGTGGGGCACTTGGGCGCACTAAAGGATACGGAGCACCAGGATCTTGGGGAACTTCTGGATGCTGAACTTCTTGGTGCACCTCGTCCGGGCCTTGCAGCGACAGCATGTCTGGGGAGACAGGGCCAGTGAGGGACGAAGCCGAGGGGAGCTCCCCGGGTGGGGGACGAGAATAAACAGGCCCAGGACTGCGATGCCCACCTCGAGGTGCCTCCCCAAGGCGAGCAGCCTCGCACCCTGGGCCTGCACAGCTGCTGCAGCAGAGCCCTGACGACTTCTGCATCCCATCCATCCGTCCTGCCCTGCCCATCTATCTGCCCCCAGCCCTGGCGCCCCGTACCGGTTTCTCGTTCCCGTCCAGCACGTCCTCCTTGGTGAAGAGGCGCAGGCAGTCCATGAGGGTCACTTCCCCGTAGCCCTTCTGCGGGGAGAGGAGGCAGGGTGAGAACGTGCTTGGGGCGGGCAGGACAGGGGCAGGTTGGGGGCGCGAGGCTGCGGGCATTACCTTGGGGATGGGCAGGGACAGGTCCCAGAAGGGGTCGAAGGCCGTGGAGCAGTAGCCGCACTCGCTGCAGGTCAGGGAGCTCTTCAGCTGTCCCACAAAAAGATCTGGGGGCAGGAGTAGGAGCAGTGAGGTGCCGGGGGCTGCGTCTGGGAGTGCTAGCTGCACCCACAGCCCCGGCCCTGCCCGTGCCCTCCCCAGCTGCCCCCAGGCCCTGCTACAGAGCCCAGCTGCCCCCTGTGCCCCACTCACCCCCAATCCGGCTGTCCTCCCGCTCTTGGTAGCGCCTCCACATCTGCCTCCCTTTCTCCTCATCCCTGCAGGGACATGCAGCGTGTGAGAGGTGCCACAGCCTGAGCCCTCCAACCCCAGGGTCTAGGGTCAGGCTCCCCCCTTTCTCCTCCTGGCACGGGCACCCCTGGCCCAGCTGTGTGCCAGGTGCCAGAGGGCCCATAGACTAAGGAAACTGGGACATCACGGGCAGGTTTCAGCCCTCTGCAGGACCCCCGGCTCTGCAGGACACACGTCCCAGCTGCTCGCATGGGGAAGGGCCAAGGGGAGAAGGTGCCTGGGCGCTAAGGACCCTGTTGGTTGAGGCCAGCTCTGGAGTCCTATTCCCCACCCCAAGCATTACCCTGATCAAGGCCTGACGGGCTGCAGTTGTGCCACTGCCCACCCCCAATCTGGTCCCTCAGGGAGGGCAGGGGCCATGGGGTAGGGGGCATTGGTGGTAGAAGCAGGTGCTGGAGAGGCTGGGTGCCTCTGCCTGGGGATGGTCCCTCATCCCAGGGAGGGCACCTTGATGCCGCTCCCTAAGTGATGCCCACTCACGGGAGATGATCCAGGTTGTCGGCACTGGCGCGGGGCCGAACCAGCACCCGGTTGACCTCGCTGTGCAGCCCGTCGAGGAGGAAGCGCAGGAACTCCTGGGCATCCTGCTGGCTGGAAGGGGCAGGGGGTCGGGTGAGATGGCACCGTCCCTGCCCAGGCTGCCCTGCTACCCCTCCCTCCCCCCCTCCGGCTGGGCAGGGCCTTACTTGTAGCCCACGAAGCGGGGGGCGTATCTCTGGATCTGCGTCTTGAACTCAGAGGGGCTCACGGCATCGTTGGGCGGTGAGGTCCAGAGCAGCTGGAGCAGCTTCGCGAACTCTGCGGGGTGGAGCGCGGCGGTGATGGGGGTGGCAGGCCCAGAGCCCTGCTTACCCCTGCCCGGTGCGGAGGCCATTGTCCACCACCCCCAGGGGCTCGGGTGCTGCCGGGTGGGCTGGCTGAGGGCAGAGGGGGGCTGCGGCGCTGCAGGGGGGCACCGAGGCAGCGCAGGGCCGCGAGGAGGACGGACGGACGGAGCTGCCAGGGAGCGTGGGGCCGGCGCAGCCTCTCACCTGACATGAGGGCCGTATGCATGCGGCTGGTGTTGTTGAGGTCCCGCAGGTACTGGCTCTGCAGGCAGTAGTCCCGCAGCTCCCGCGTGTTGCTCAGGCACTGCAGGATGGAGTTCATGAAGCACTGGGGGAGGCAGAGGAGACATCATGGCAACGGCAGGCACGACAGCCCCGGCTGGGGCGGGCGAGGGCCCGAGACCTACCTCCTGGTACGTCTCCGGGGTCGGTGGGGGGGAACATAGGGGAGGAAGGGCCAAAGCCCAGGGTGGGGCTTCGAAGCCACAAGCAAAGGGGACTTCCACCCCAGGGATGCCCTCGGGGGTGGAGCTGGACGCCAGGGGACTCGGGGCTGGGATTTCCTGCCGTTGCAGGGGTTCCTCTTTGCGTGGGTGCTGTGCAGGCGGTGCGAAGGAGGGGTGCCTGCTGAGGGCTGCGGTTTCCGCAGCAGTTGCGAGATGCGGGCACGTGGCTGGCGGGCAGCGCAGGGAGGGAGAGAGGCGGGGGCATCGGGGTTCCCCGGCTGAGCGGGGGGGACTCACCGTGTTGCCCAGGTTGCGGAGGCCGGTCAGACCTTGCACCGTCTTGGAGTTCTGCAGAGAGAGCAGGGCGGCGGTGAGATGGGGGCCAGCCCCCCAGGGGCCAGGACTAGGGAGCCGGGGGGATGTGGCTCTGGCCCCAGCACCACCCCAGCCCCCCGGCACGCAGGGAAGGAGCAGTCTTACATGTGCTGCCCCTGGCAGCCACACTCATCCTCCCTGCCCTGCGGGGGCCAGGTTGCTCCGCTCACCCCAGTGTCCCATGGGGCGGCAAGCAGGGTGGGGGATGCCATGGGCCCTGCCAGCCCTCCTCCAGACCTCCCTGCCTCAGCCCTTCTCCAGACGCAAAGTCTGCCTGTGCTCAAAGCCCCGAGTGCGAGGCCTTGGCAAGCCGCCTCTCCCGGGTCTGTGATGGGGCAAGGGCTGGAGCCAGCAGGACGAGGTGCCCAGCACCTGCAGGCCCTGCCCCTGGACTGGGTGAGGCATGGAGCCTGCCCCTGGCACTGGGAGCGAGTGGGTGGTGCTCAGGCACATGGCACCGGGCACGCCGCAGGCAGCACGTGGGTGCTCAGGTGATCACCGTCCCAGCCCTTGAGCCCTGAGTCTGGGCACAGCTGGCTGCTGAGGGAGCTGGCGTGGTGTAAGGCAGCTGTGGCCAGCATCAGAGCCAGACTGGCTCCCTTTGCCGCTGGCAAATCACTCTGCTGGTGGGGTCAGGGCCCTGCTCCCCCCTGGAGCGTAGCCCCCGCGGTGGCTGGGGCAGCACGACTCCTGGGTGCCACGTCTGACCTTGGGCAGGCTGCTTCTCAGCATCCTGCCTCAGTTTCCCCCTGTGCTAGTGGAGGGGGAGTCATCCTTTTCTAAGCTCCGGGGTACTGCGTGGCAGGCCCCAGGCGACCCTGCCCGCTGCAGGGCAACGCCCCGACCATAAGGAGCACTTGCCTGGACTGCCATACGCTGCAATGCTGTCCCATGTGGGACACTGACCCCGGGCAGGTCCCGAGCAGAGACGGTGCCCAAACCCCTGGCATGCAGGCCTGCGGCTGCTTGCACATGAGCGCGCAGGACTTTGGAACCCGCGGCCTGGATAAAGTCCGCTCGTCACGTGGCAGCTGGAGTGGGGGCCCCCACCTGACTCAGCTCCTGGGCACTGACAGCGCTGTGGGCTTCCTCACAGCAGTGCCCTGACTGGGGACTCGAAGGGTTTCACATGACCTTGGGTGAGCTCACCCTGGCCCTGCTAGCGGAGCAGGCTTAGCGAGGCGCCTCGTGTGACGGACACCAGCAGCTGGGCAAGCTGTAATGGAGCCTGTTAGCACAGAGCCCGGGCGGGTGGGGGCAGGGGGGGCAGGGAGCAAGTGCCCGTCCGCCTCGGGATCGTCGGCTACACAGAAGACAGGGGCGAGAGGAGACCTTGGGAGTCCTGCTCCCCGAGCTGCACGTGACACACGCTGCCTACCCCGCTCCCTCCAGCAACCCAGGAGTCCTGGCCCCAGCCCTGCAGGCAGTGCTCCCCTCTCAGCAAGGTTACGGAGGAGCCGGGCAGCGGCTTTGGCTGGACGTCAGCAAGGCCCGGACCAGCGCTGGCTGGGTTAAGGCGGTGACTCCCACACCCTCCCCCTGCCAGGCTTAAAGCTCTCGGATGACGTGAGGCCACCCCCAGCAGCGGGAGGGGGCCGTGCCAGCAGCTCCGAAATAGCAGCAGCTGGTGCACGCGGGGGAGGCGCAGGCCCAGCCTGGCAGCGCCCAAAATAGCCCAGGTACCATTACACACGCTCCTCGGTGACAGCGCGGGGGAGCTGGCGTTGGCACCGGGGTGCTGCCCACCCCGGCCTGGCTCCGCCATGCTGCCTGCCCCATCCAGGTACCCCCCTGCACCCCCTCGTGATGCTTGCACTGGCCTGGCACTCCCTGCCCCGGGCCTGTCCCAGCCTGGCTCCGGCTGTCCCAAAACACCCCCCCCCCCCCCCCCCC